ATCAAGTACATGCACGCCCTCCTTTTCTCGCTGCCCGAGATGTGGCGACACGAGATCGTGCACGTCAACCAGGTGAAGAGTCTCAACAAGGCGACCCCTCCATTGTGCCGTCGTCCAACCCCACTCCCCACCGCTGACACCCTGCTCATCCTCGCAGGTTTCTGGCATCAAGAATTACACCCCACAAAAGTTATGACACCCTTGAAGAAGAAGACCCTGAACAGCTTGTCACAGTTACGATGGGGGGGCATCTTTGGGGGCCACGATGGGGGATCGGGACAGGGATAAGAGGGGCAATGGAAGGCACCGGGAGGCCACGGGAGCCAACGGGATGCCACGGGATGCAACGCCCCCCCCCAGATCTCGGATCCGGCGATCCATCATTCGGCTTGAAAGAGGCAGCGGGAGGCAACGTCGTACCCCAGATTCCAGATCCGGCGATGCACCTGAGGCAATGGGAGACAGTGGGCAGGCAACGGGAGGCAATGGGAGGCATTTTCCCCACCCCGGTTCTAGATTTGATGGTGCACTTACTAGTTCCTCAGAAAAGTGATGTAGGAACCTTCTCAGACAAGCTGTTTAGGGAAAATCCTAGAATTCTGTCCTCTCCTCATCAGGTTCATCATCTTCTCGCCCCGTCTACGGTCGGGAACTGTCGGGTAGCGTGTCGCTTCGCCGGTTCTGGCCCACCCTTCTTCGGTGCGACGCGCGATCCGCTTCCTGGTCCCTTGGCGCCAACGTCCCGAGCTGGCCCGGGGCCTCCAGGGCGACACGCCATCCAAAAGGTCCTACCCGTACCCGATTTTTCCTCCTCCTCCTCCTCCTCCTCCTCCTTTCCTCCTCCTCCTCCTCCTCCTCCTGCTCCTCCTGCTCCTCCTCCTCGTCCTCCTCCTCCTCCTCCTCTCCTCCTCCTCCTCCTCCTCCTCCTCTCCTCCTCCTCCTCCTCTCCTCCTCCTCCACCTCCTCCTCCTCCTCCTCCTCCTCCTCCTCCTCCTCCTCCTCCTCCTCCTCCTCCTCCTCCTCCTCCTCCTGCTCCTCCTCCTTCCTCCTCCTCCTCCCTTCTCCTCCTCCTCCTCCTCCTCCTCCTCCTCCTCCTCGTCCTCCTCCTCCTCCTCCCCCCTCCTTTTCCTCCCTCCTCCTCCTCCTCCTCCTCCTCCTCCTCCTCCTCCTCCTCCTCCTCCTCCTCCTCCTCCCACCCCTCCTCCTCCTTCTCCTCCTCCTCCTTCTCCTACTCCTTCTTACCATCCAGAAGGTCCTAGCCGTTCCCCACCTGGCCCCACACCGGTCGGGTCAGAGCCGCTGCAGCGACAGCCCGTCGCTCCCCAGGCTCTGGTGCGCGGGGGGGGGAGGAAGGAGGGCTTCATCATCAGCAGGAGGAGGAGCTGGAGCAGGAGCAGGAGGAGGAGGAGGAGGAGCAGGAGGAGGGGGAGGAAGAGCAGGAGGAGGAGGAGCTCCTCTCCCTCTTCCTCCTCGAACGTCAGGCGAGCGATTTGGAAAAATGCGTGCCGTCTGCGCGGGCATGCGCGCTCAAGCCGCCCGCCAGAGGTCGAGCGCAAGCGCCCTTGCTTTCGCGCCGTGTTTTGCGTCATGGTTCTGAGTAAGTCACCGCGTACAGTCGCTGTGTTCTCTTACGCAAGACCTCCCATCGTCGTCGCGAAACTGCTACTTGCATTGAACTGCCTGTCCTTCATTGGTCTCCTCGTTCTGCCGTCCACCGCCCGACACATTCCGATTTCCAGGCTCCGGCTTCCAACCATGAAGATTGTCGTGTGAGTCAGAGTTCTGCAGGGTTTCAGATGCTACAGCCTCACGCGCCTGGCCCGCACAGCCACAGGCGGAGTTTCGCCTGGTGGCCGGCTGGTAGCCGGTCGTGGGCGCCTCGTGGGCGGCACGTGCGCGATGTGGGCCCGCCAGGGCTCTGTGTGGAGACCGCCCGTAGCCGCCTCGTGGGCGCCCCGTGGGCGGTCGCATAGTAGACGCCACATTGCAGGCATCACACATATTCTCTTCTGAAGAGAAGACAGCTAGCCAGCGGGAGCCCCGAACTGTGTGTGTTTCAACCATCTGTTATGCGCGATACACGCGGAGCAATAAACGATGTGCAATTGATTTGCAATCGATGCGGTGCAATCGACGTTGCGCAATATATGCTGTTTAAGCAATGTGGTGCTACATCTATACATATATATATGTATGTATGCACAAATGTATGTGTATATGTATATGTGATTGGTTTGTACAATACGTGTGGGAGGCAAATTATGTTGGGCAGTATACGTGGTGCAAAACATGTGGTGCAGTGTAGGCTGTGCACAATGTACGTTGCGCAATATATGTGGTGCTACTTGTGGGGTGTAATCAGCTTTTGTTCGCACTGACTTGACCATGGCTCGCGCAATCATCCCACTCACCCACCCGCAAGTTGGTTTGCAAAACGCGTGCGGCGGCGACTGCGGTGACTGTTTGGCGCTGGCGGGCGCATTGCTGCGGCCGCGCTATCGCTCGCATGCTCGCGCGCAGAGCGGCCAACTAGTCTGGCGCGACCGACGCAGCCGCGACCGCCAGGGAACTTCCCAGCGCGTCTCGCGGGCCGCGCTGCGAGTTGATGATCCGGGCGGGCGCGGTATCATGGCGACGTCGACCAAAGCCGACATGATGATGGTAGTATCGATGTGATGACGACGATGGCGATGACGACGGCAAGGCCAATGACGGCGCCGATGATGATCACGCCGGCGACGATGATGCTGTCGATGTGCCGGCGATGAAGGTTTGGGGGTGATTTCTACAGGCGCGCGCGGCTGGCGGGCGCAAGTGGCCCGCGGTTGATTTTTTGTTTTCGAAACAAAAAACTACGGTTGCCGTAAGGTGTCGCAAGAGCGCGTGCGCAGACGTCCGTGAAATAAACCCGTTGCAAAAATATGGGTTGCTCAAATGATTTCTGGAACCTTGATGCCGAAAGCCCTGCGAGACCTCAGGTGTCCGCAGGAAGTCGTCATGCGCGCGCGACGAAGCGCGGGCGTGGACTCTGTCAGAAATGTTGCAAGGGTTTTGGGCGCATTCCGGATTTTGGGTGAATGATCGCGCGCGCATAGTATTCTTGGACGAGGATGAGGCGTTCGGGATCGAACCCAGCTTGGCTGGATACTGCGAGTTGATATTTAACATGGACGATGGGCCAGAATCGTGCGTCAATTGCATATCCCCGGGGGGGGCGATTTAACCGGGGGGGTAGATCCGAATTTCATCAAGGGGGGAGCACACATGCGGCGCAATCTGCGTGGCGCAGTTTGCCCTGCCGAACTTGAAGTGGTCATCTCCACTGCTCGGGCAATCAAATCATCTCACCCGCCTGCCCGCAACTTGGCCTGCAACACCCACGCGGCGACGATTGCGATGACTGCTTGGCGCTGGCTGGCGCGTCGCTGCTGGCGCGCTAGCGCGCGCGGATTCGCGCGCAAAGCAGCCAGGTAATTAGTCTGGCGCGACCGACGCCCACGCAGCGGCGCTGACCTCCGGGGACTTCCCAGCGCGTTTTGCAGGCCGCGCTGACGCGCAAGAACTTCAGCGCGAGTCGGTGATTCGGGCTGGCGCGGTATCATGGCAACGTCGACAGCGGCAGACACGACGATGGTAGCAGCGATGATGATGACGTCGATGGTGATGACGACGGCAAGGCCAATGACGGCGCCGACGCTGTTCACGCCGACGACGATGATGGCGCCCACGCGCCAGCGATCAAGTTTTGGGAGGATGTCGACTTTCGCACGGGGCCGACGGGCGCAGTCGACCTGCATGGTTTCATTTGAGGGGGATCGCGCCCCCCCCCGCCCTAGCTCGCCCGCAAGGGCGCTCGAATGATTGCGACACGCGCGCGCGAGAGGCCCGCTTGGTCGCATGCGATGGAAGTTCGGGAAAAACCCAGGGATGCTTCAAGAATTCGCAAGAGCTCGCTCACGAACTGCTTCTAAACAGAAAGCATGTTGCACAACCAGTAGTTTGATGCGTCGCAGAGGGCACCTGCTAATTCATGGCCATCGATAAGCGAGCGCGCGCGCATAGTGGCATTTGACGGGGGGCGGGGAAACGCATATTGGCTGGGACGACGTGACTTGGTTTATACAACGAGCGACGGGGAATAATCACATGCACACTATACAATACCATGGGGCGCCCAGTAATACCCATAAAAGCAGGGGTGGGTAGATCCGAGCTCCTTTTCAGCAAGGAGAATCTACGCGGCGCAACTCGCCCTGTTGGACTTGCAGTTGCCAACTCCACTGCGCGCGCAATCGCCCCGCCCACCCACTTGCTACTTGGTTTGCAGCAAAACCCACGCGGCGTCTATTGCGATGACTCTTTGGCGCTGTTTGGCGCGTCGCAGCAGGCGCGCTAGCGCGCGCAGGTTCGCTCGCAGAGCGGACAGATAGTCTGGCGGCTGACCGCCTGGGACTTCCCAGCGCGCCTCGAAGTCCGCGTTGGCGCGCGGGGACTTCGGAGCGAGTCGGTGACCCTGACGCGCGCGGTATCAGGGCGATGTCGAAAGCGGCGGACACGACGATAGTAGCGACGTTGGCGACGACGATGGCGACGACGACGGAAGGCCAATGACGACGCCGATGCTGACCGCGCCGGCGACGACGATGGCGACGAAGGTGTTTGAAGGATTTCGACCTGCGCGCGCGGCCGACGGGCGCGAGTGGCTCGCGCGGTTTTACGCGACAGGGACCTCCCATGACGCGCGCAAGGGCGTTCGAATGATTTTGGCAGGCGCGCGCGAAAGGTCCGTTCGGTCGCGTTCGACGATGATTGTAAAACCACGGTTTCTTGAGGTTTCGCAAGATCGGGCACGCATTGTTTTTTTGTTGGGGGGAGCGGGAATATGTTGCAACACCGTGTTATTCCCATGTTTCGGGCCACGCGATCTCGGAATCTTTCGGAAACCTCGCGTGTTTGAATTATTCCCGCATGCTCGCGTGACGGCGTACGCGCGTGCACTTCGTCTTACCTATTGCAGGGGAATTTCGGAAATGAATGATACGCGGTGAACGAGTGCTCGCGCATAGTACCACTGGACGAGGATGGGAAGG